ACATTTTTCTTTTATATTACAGGTTTTGTTCAATAATTTACAAGACTATTAACAAATTATACAAGGTGTATCTCCTTGAAATATTCTTTGAAAAAAAATTAAGTAATTTGCAACATCTGGTGAAAAGCAAACAAAGCCTTAATTACATAGGAAACCTTTTGAAAAGCGAGGAACACATTTCTGCATACCAAGAAAGAATTTGAGAGAGCAGAAAGTTTTAATGTGATGAAAAAAAAAAAAAAAAGAAAGAAAAGAGACATTTTGCCAAAAATTTTCATTAGAAATCTACATTCCAGGAATTTCGAACTTTGTGCCTGCACCACCACCATCCCACCCCAAGTTATTCTGTTGCTCAATTGCAATTAGTTTTATTATGTGTGGGGTTTTTATTTGAGGACTAAAATTTTATTTTTTTTTCAAACATGAACTATTTTATTTTTAAGTAGATGATAGACAAACATAAAATATGTCTTTGGAAAATACACTGGGAAAATGCCAACGTCAGAAACTAGCTATGCATTCTGAAGTTAATTTTTGAAAGCTGTTGCTTCTGAATGTGGATGGTTTCATATTTTCTGTTTCACTATAAGGTCACATTATTAAAAACTGAGAGGAGACAATAACCCCTTCCCCTACAGTCTTCTTCCTTCTAAGTGCAAGAATGGTAAAACCATTGGAAATCCATACTGCAGGCAAAATTGTTCTCTCTGATCTGCATGGTGGATCCAGTATTCCCATTGGGAATTCTGTGCTGTGTGAATAAAGACACAAATTTCTTAACTGTAATTTCTACTTTGCCCAATCATAGTCCCGTTTGTCTGTTCCAAACAGATTGAAAGGACAAAAACACAGACTTACTGTGCACTCCAGAGGAAAAAAAAAATCTTTTATGCATGATTAACCTTATACTGAACAATTCATATACAAGCAGGAGTGGAAATAGGATATGGAGCATTTCACCTGTGCTACTGGTTACCAGACGAAGTCTAGTGTGGGTCACTGGTAACCTAAAGGTGTTACAGACTAATGGACAGTCTGTGACCCACATGAAATGAGCTGGGATTACTTAAATTCATGGAAATATATTTCTGTATCATACAAAAAAAAAAAAAAAAAAAAAAAAAAAAAAAAAAAAAAAAAAAAAAAGCCCCACAAAACTCACTCAGGGCAAGCAACCTTCCTGGTAATATTAGCAGCAAACAGTAACTGCAGAGATCGGAGGATCTTTTCACTTCAAATGGTGGTCATATGAGAAAGCTGCAGTGAGAAAGCTGTTGAAGTGTAGGAAAGACAGAGAAAGAGGCAGAGAGGGGAGGCTGTGTTTGTCTGTGTATCGTCTGATATGTGTACAAAGAGAAGACTTCAGTCTCAAGGCCTGTCAGTTCAGCACCTTTCACGAGTACAAAATGTCATGTACTACATACTGATGAAATAAAAGACAAAGGTGTCAAAGGAACCATTACACTATATTCTAGCAATGATCAGAGGATCAACAGCCTCCCTTCTAGATTGACACTATGTTAAACTATGCCAGCATATTTGGCCTGAACGGCTCCTTCTCTGCCCCAGTTTTACACCATGGGTGGAACTCAATTTACCCCAACAGACTCACACTTTGTCAAGAGGAAGAAAAATTAAATACACATGCATTTCCTTTCTACATAATCTTTTTGCTATTATTCTATAGTCAATATATGGCTCTGCATACATTCACATCTTACTCACAGCTTACTATCTCCTTTATTTCCAAAAATAAAGGGTGTATGTTTACTCACCATATGGATGCAGTGAGTAATCACAGTAGGCAGAAAAACATCTTGCCTCATGAAGGTTGCATAGAGTTGGGAAAGCAATGTGTGAAAATACCGCAGTTTCAAGTTCACTTCATCATGTATATTTGGCTGCCAATGTATTTCTTTCATCAAAATATCCTTCTGTAAGTACAGATAATTATGGAAGGGCTCTGCATCTCAGCTAATGTGGATTGTGATGGTCTCATGATATCAGATTGCATTATCCTCTGCTCTCTTCCACCCACACCAGACGATGTATGTTGAGAATTCTCTGAGAGACCAAATGTATGAAAGACATTCCTATGAGTGCTTGCAACTTGAAATGTCAGAAGTGACTTGACATGACTTTCCCAACTGATATGCCAATTAAAACTTCTGGTTTGATTACCTAACTTGGATAATCAGCATGAAAGAGAGGACCTCTGGTTTTGGCCTTTATAACCATAACTGCTGCAGCAGCAGCATCCAGTTGTTGATTTAGGTTACAAGATCCAGTCAAAATTAGATAAAAATCTCTAAAATATTTGGATACTTGCTTTCTTCACAAAGAAAGCAAGTATCCAAAGTTTTACTAGTTTTCAAGCCTTCAAGAGCTTTGATTATGCAATGAATGTAGGCTAATTGCCTACAGGTCTCCCTGTACTATACCACTTACATAAATACAGGTAGTCGTCTTCAAAGAATAGCGGGTTAGCTTTTACAGGACCTAAAGTGAAATAATATGTAGCTTACTCTTTCCCAGATGCACCTCTTTCCTGGCAGGAGATTTCCCCGATCCATTCCAGAAGCATGGCTATAATGCACAGCTATAATGATGGTCGACTGCTGTGTGGAGCCTCCTGCTGCTGAGCAGCACGTGTTCCTGGTGGAATGGCAACTTCCCACTGTCACAAGGGGTTTCTGCTTTGGCTTCTGTCTTAAGGAAGGAGGTCTAAAAGATTGTTCCATTTTAATTATATTAGGTAATGCAAACCTTGTAACAACCATCATTTGGACAGATGCCATTACTAGGGCTTTGTAGCTCAAACAGTAGACAGACAGACAGACAGACAGGAAGTGCAGAAGGAAGTGCAGTAGGAAGGAAGTGTGAAAGTGTGGAAGGAAGTGTGAAAGAGAGAGAGAGAAAGAGAGAAAGAGAGAGAGAGAAAGAAAGAAAGAGAGAAAGAGAGAAAGAGAGAAAGAGAGAAAGAGAGAAAGAGAGAAAGAGAGAGAGAAAGAGAGAGAGAAAGAGAGAAAGAAAGAGAGAAAGAAAGAGAGAAAGAGAGAGAGAAAGAAAGAGAGAAAGAAAGAAAGAAAGAAAGAAAGAAAGAGAGAAAGAAAGAGAGAAAGAAAGAGAGAGAAGAGAGAAAGAAAGAAAGAAAGAAAGAAAGAAAGAAAGAAAGAAAGAAAGAAAGAAAGAAAGAAAGAAAGAAAGAAAGAAAGAAAGAAAGAAAGAAAGAAAGAAAGAAAGAGAGAAAGAGAGAAAGAGAGAAAGAGAGAAAGAAAGAGAGAAAGAAAGAGAGAAAGAGAGAAAGAGAGAAAGAGAGAAAGAAAGAAAGAAAGAGAGAAAGAAAGAGAGAAAGAAAGAAAGAAAGAAAGAAAGAAAGAGAAAGAAAGAAAGAAAGAAAGAAAGAAAGAAAGAAAGAAAGAAAGAAAGAAAGAAAGAAAGAAAGAAAGAAAGAAAGAAAGAAAGAAAGAAAGAGAGAGAGAGAGAGAGAGAGAAAGAAAGAAAGAAAGAAAGAAAGAAAGAAAGAAAGAAAGAAAGAAAGAAAGAAAGAAAGAAAGAAAGAAAGAAAGAAAGAAAGAAAGAAAGAAAGAAAAGAAAGATAAAATAAATTATACTAGGGCTAGTCTCTTACTACAATGCTCATCGCCATCACACACAGTAGGAACATCCTGTCATTCTTACTCCATTGCCTCACCATGAGGTACACCTCATACATAATTTTTCACCCTTTATTATGTTTGTATAAAGAAACACACCTACTTCTTTATCTAAAATTAATTGTGCACAGTAGCAGGGACAGTCATGCCTGAACTGCTCACATAGCCTACCTTCGTCTTTTTAGTAATTTACTTAGTTACACCATAAAAGTCTTCATGACTGGTCATTTTTGTTGGGGCTCAGAAAAATTTCTCGAAATTTTTCTCCCATTTTCTGCAGTTCTTTCATCCATTATACTGCAGGCAAAAGCCTCTAAAACCCTCTTACCTTTTCTTAACCTTACAAGATAGTTTAAAGTAAAAGAAGAAAAGAAGAGAGGCAGGCACTCTCCTGTTGATAGAATGTCATTTCAGAAGTCCTTCTGTGCTTCCTACCTTAGTCTGACTGCAGCAGTTCAGCAACTTTGCCTGAAGTTTAAAAAAAAAAAGGCTAGACAGAAACATGAAGGTTTCTCCATGCTCTGCATTCTTTGAGCACAGAAATTGGTGTTAAATTGTTTTGTACTGCAAGGAGAGATGCAATCACAGTAAAAATTCAAAAGAGAAACACCCAAGCAGAAACACAACCCTGTTTTTCTAGGCTAAAGCTATTCAGGTATGTTTATATGCTGACCTGTGAATTAAGGAGTCGACGTTCAAGGTTTGCCACTCAGAGAGAGGCAATGCTGAACAATGCTAGAGGGATGGCACATCAATCAGATGGACACATTTTAGACAGGTGTTCCTAAATAATCTCATTGGTTTTACCAATCACATGCAGAAAGGAAGACATTTGATTAAAAAGTGTATTAATTTAATCATAAAATATACCTGTGTAAAGAGGTGGCAGACACTTCATCAGCCAAATATATTTTTTTCCCGGTGTTCCTCTCAGTCTGATTTTCACTCTATAAGTTGTTTTGGTAGCTTTAGACCTTGCTATGTCTTACAAATGCAGAGACAAACTACCTCAGACTGAGACTATGCTGCACTGAAGTCTGGAGACAGTCACCCCCTCACCGTGCATGCACATTATCATTGCTATCATATAAAAGGTACTGCTGGCTCATCACCCTTTGGTTCTTGATGTTACACTGTAAAGTGTAGAAGAACTTCTGGTACCTGATCAGGATTCTTAAAACAGGTCACAGGATTTAAATACTTTCTCCAGTGGCATATCACAAATCACCCAGACTCATGTTGGGAATGTCACATAACAGTCTCATGGTAGATTCAGCATCAAAAGAGGAATAAACACATAAACAAATTTGTAATTAAATAAATAAATAAATAAACAAATCTGTAGAAGGTTTAAACTACAGAGGACTTTATTAGTCAGAAGTACTTCTCATAACAAAAAAGGAAGGTAATGCAAATTCTGGAGAATGAATATCAACACTGCTTCCACTGATCATGCACATTCTGAACTTCAAATTTGTCCATGAACCAGCAATATGCCCTTGTGGCAAAGGGGGACAGTGAATACCTCAGGTGCATTAGAAACAGCATTCTCAGCAGGTCAAGTGAGGTAGACCTGCCCCTCTACTGATGAGGCCACATCTGGAGTGCTGTGTCCACTTCTGGGCTCCTCAGTACAAGAGACACATGGAGCTTCCTGAATGAGTCCAGCAGAGGGTTACAAAGATGAGAACTGGGCCTGTTCAGCCTTGAGAAAAAATGAAAAAAAGCAGAAAAGCAGAGAGTGGACCACATCACTATATATAAATATCTGAAGGGAAGGTGTCAAGGGCATGGAGAACAAGAGGCCATGGGCAGAAACTGACACACAGGAAATTCCACCCAAATATAAGAACTTATTTACACAGTGTGTGTGACTGTGCAATGGAACAGGCTGCCCACAGAAGTTGTGGAGGCTTCCTCACTGGAGTTATTCAAGAACTGTCTGGACACTATCCTTTGCAAAGTGCACTACAATGACCCTGCTGGACAGAGGGGTTGGACCAGATAACCCACTGTTGTCCCTTCCAATCTTAAACACATCCTGTGATTTTGTGATTCTGTGAATACTATTTGCTGAACACTGAGATCCTGACAGGTGCTCACTTCAGCTACACAAGCCAGAGGTAGAAAATGTTTAGATAGTGCCAGAAGATCTTGTACCTGAATTCAAATTTTGAAATCCTTTTCCTAGGAGGGAAGGGAAAGGACATGCTTGCCCAGTTCAGGTATCCTGGCCTCCACAGACAGCCAAGATCTAAAAGATGTATGGTCATAACCCTGAGTAACAAATTGCAGGCAGTTCCATTCAAATAACAGTAGCCCTGAATCTGCTGTCAACACTAAGGGAAAGCACATTTGTACATCCACCACATCTGAGTTTTCCCTTTTTTTATTTTCAGTCTTTCATTGTTTAGAGATATCCACCATAGCGGGTTTGGACCCTTTAAAAAGAGGATGTGATAACTAGATGCTAAAGACTGTCATGAGGGTGCTGAGCTCTCACTTTAACAAACTGTCCAAGAGGAACACAGAGAGAAAAAAAGAGGGGGACTTCTGAACGCTAAGCACTGTCCTGCCTCAATTTTGGGTACTGATCACTAAACCCACTGATCTGTACATAGAGGGCAGTCAAATCCTCAATCCCCACCTGGCTCTAAATAATGTATTTGCATTGTGTACAGACTAGGCATCGTTCTGTGCTTTGCCATTTCCTTCATGAGAATAGCAACGGTGAAGACACGGATTTTTCTTCCTGCCTTTTATATACCCACTCTGCAAATGCAGACACACACACACACACACACACACACACACACGCACACGTATAAACAAATATGCACAGGTATACAGCCCCATAAAAATTCACAGGAAGGCTCACAATCAAACAGAAAATTTGCAAACGCTCTGAGTGTAACACGCAGGCTAACTAGACACACAACAAAAGACTCCCGAACCTTTATCAAACACAAATTAGCAGGAATACATTTGAATCGTTAAGCCGAGCGCCCGGGCCCCTCAGCGCACGGACGGAAACCTATTGCTGCAGCGGCACCTAGTGGCCAGCGCCGGCCAGCGCAGCGGCCCCGGGGAGCGCGGCCCGGGGGCAGCGGGGAC